CGTTACATGTGCTGACTTTAGACAAGCAATTATACATTTGTTTGTAAACAAGCAATATTTTAAGTTTTTTTCTATATACAATTGTATGAGAAAAAACAGTTAAAAATCGAATTTAGCGTTAAAAGGAAAGGGACAACTGAACACTGTACTTATTGATACATGAAGAAGTGACTCGAGATACCCTGACAGGCCAGAAATTGATTTTTTTTCATACAATTTTCGCAAAATAAAAGAACGCCGGAGAAATGCACTCGCTTGGCAAAAAACAAACAAACAAACACACACACCAAAACAACAACACCACCAACAACAAAAAAATAAGCCTAGTATATTTATGGTAATTTAGCATTTGGAGGGAAGTCAAAACACTATTATCACATTTTGTTAATTTTATGACAAATCATTTCACATCCATCACAACTTTCTCCAGGTAACATTTGACTTATTCCTTTCCATTTAACAAATTCCATCGCAGTTTGCGTAAAACCTCACAAGTTAAACCCTTGACATTTAACATGTTGTACGCAATGCGTAAAGAGAAGAAACTTACAATAAATTTGATTCTTGTTTCGTATCATTATCCCCTAAAATATCGATAAAAATCATTTGTTTCTATAAATGCGATATAGGTTAACGACACTTGCATGGGATTTATATAAAACATTGTTATTGTTATAACATTCTCTGTAATGGCGCATTATAGTAATACAATTTTAATGATTCGGAAAATTAATGAGCGCACACGCGCAAAGAAATAAATTTTAAGTTTTCTACGTAATAGAAAGAGCACCGAAACACGAGGGTATCTGATTTGTACGAGGGGGCGTAGCCCCCGAGTATTAATTAGATTACCGAGAGTTTTGGTGTTCTTTCTTTTTTGTATCATAGTCAAACATAAAAAAACGTTCCCTGTAGTTACAATATGAAACCCCGGCAAAAATGAACCAATGAACGAGCATCTAAATATGACATTTCTGTCAATTTCACTTTCACTGCCGTCACAATATGTAAACCCCAGCAAAAATGAGCCAATCAATGGGCATGCTCTGGAGTGCGGGTAACTAATACCCGCACTCCAGTTAACGCACTGTGCATGTATATGTATACGATTTAACCCTGACACATTTTCAACAGAAAGGTCTCCTAACTATGATACAAGTAATAGAAAGAGCACCGAAACACGAGGGTATCTGATTTGTACGAGGGGGCGTAGCCCCCGAGTATAAATCAGATTGCCGAGTGTTTTGTGTTCTTTCTCTTTTGTATCATAGTCAAACATAACAACGCGTTCCCTGTTGTCACAATATGAAACCCCAGAAAAAAGTAACCAATGAAAGAGCATCTGAATATAATATTTCTGCCGCCTTTCCTTTCTTTGCCGTCATAATAAGTAAACCCCTTCAAAAATGAGCCAGTGAACAGGCATGCTCTGGAGTGCGGTAACTGCACTCAAGTTAATGCATTGTGCATGTATATGTATACGATTTAACTCTGACACTTTTTCAACAGAAAGGTCCCGAAACTATGATACAACTATTAGAAACACGAAGCATATTGTTTAATATTAGAGTCTATTAAAACGTGTTACAGGTCTAACAAATGGTATATAATAGTTTTTAGAAATTGTTCGAGGATATTTAATGTGCATAAGCGTTACAGATTCGTGCACACCTCCCTCAAGTTCTAAAATATACAACACCTTGGATTAATCTTTATGATCATGTGTTTCTCGCAAGAATGCTTATTATGCCTGAATACATGTGTATCTTTAATTAGAAATGTATATTAATGGGTCTTATCCGGGATTCCTATCAACGCATTTGTCTAAAAACAGAAACTGTTTCTGTTTCGGTCATATTTGCTGATGACTTTTTGAAGAAGGTTGTGTTATTTATAAGTGCACGCCTACCTCGATACTATAAATACAACTTCTGACAATTATTTTCAAGAGCAGTGTTTATGTCGTAGGTTCAAATAATACAATAAAACATGTATTCAAGTGTAAATGAAATGTCACAAGAACAAAAGTATTGCCCTATTTAAAATAGCAGAATAATATTTTGTTTCGGAACATTTTATTCTATTTACGTACACTATTGACAGAGATATTGTATGTTACAACTATATCGAGAATCAACCATAAAATTATGGTCACAATATAAATGTTCTATTGATAATTTTTACAAAAAGATTTCAAAAAAATATTTAAGGTGATATATGTGTGATAATTACTGATTTGTGGAAACATGGACTTAAACAGATTCTATCGTTTACGACATCACGTCTTTGACATTTTCTACCACGAAATTCAATTATTCACAAGTTAATATCGTTATTAAAACATCCCACTCTCATTAATACATGATGATCACATTTTATAGACACTACCAGTTGTACCTGCTCCAGAAAACGTACTTTAATACCGAGGTTTAAATCTTTTTATATAGATCAGCTAGGGCACTCAAACAGAAATATATACAAAATATAATTAAGAAATAAACTCAAAAATAAATTGAAAATCCTATCTTTGTGTTATTGTAAATCTGATTTGAAAGAAAAGCGTTGCAATGTTTTTCAATTTTTGGCCATATTTTACAAATAGAATAAATAGTCTGAAAAAAAAACGGAGTGAGCGAATGATCTGAAATCTGGCAAAACAAGTTATTGGTCTATACCTACATCAAATGGAACAGTTATGTCGAAATTTTATTTCCAGTCCCACCATGTCAAAAAAACTCAGTTGAGTCCCCTTAAAGAATAGCATTGAAACAACATGTCAATTATTCACATTATTTCTTGAAAAAAATGGTATTTACTATAATACTACAATCAGCTAAATTACAATGCAACCAAATCATTTATATATACAATTTACAATTTCAAATTATGTCTTGTTTAAAATTAATAAATATCTAAAAGAAATGTAATATGAGGTGGACTTGGAAGTTTAATTTTGAACTTGTTCTCTATCCCTTTTAAAACGAGATCAGATAGCTTTCTTCTGCTCATCATGTTAAATTTCCTAAACCAGACGCAAAATTTATAATTGTTGATAAATGGTTGGTCGAAAGAGGGATTATATTAGAAATCTTTATTTCCGTACAATACAATACAATACAATACAATACAATACAATGCAATGCAATTCAATGCAATGCAATGCAATTCAATACAATACAACACAATACAATGCTATGCAATTGAATGCAATACAATACAATACACTTTATTTTAATTGTCACATGTTAGAATGCGAAAATGCGAAAACACGAAGGGACGACAAAGCTTGACTTCCTTTCGTGTTTTCGCTTTATCGGATTTTCGAGGCAACAAAGAGAAAATACGACAGAAGGAGGGCGAAAATACGACACATAAAATAGTTCGTATATTCGCATTTTATCTGTCTTATTTTCGCTTTTTCTCGTTCAAAATACAAAAATGCGAAAACACAAAGAGACGACAAAGCATAACTTTGTCGTCTATTCGCATTTTCGCTTTTTTCGCATTGTTACATTTTCGCATTGTTGCATTTTCGTTTTTTCGCATTGTTACATTTTCGCGTTCGGTTGTACATGCGAAGGGAGACATCAATCTGAAAATACCTAAATGTTACAGCTAATGATAAATTTTGTACCATTAGTTATTGTTTCCCTTCTTGTCCCTTCTTGTTTAAAAACATTAAGTACCGTGAACTAAGAGAAGCATAGTATAATAGAATATGATTTAAATACAATATACTTATTGATTTTTTTTATGAATTTGAACTGTACTCCTTGTATGAGATATTCGTGCAATATGGGGCAAAAGAATTACCATCATGAGAGCTTTGTTTTAAAGACCTGGGGAACGCCTGCCAACATGACATAATGTAATAATTAATAAAATATTTTTAGAAATTATACATCTACGTGAATACAACATAATTATAATTATCTTATTATTTATTTAATACTACATCATTGTGTTAAGACGTTACAAAACTTAATAATAATAATAATTATTATTATAATAATTTATTGATGTCTCCATTCGCATGTGCAACCGGAACGCGAAGATGCGAAAATGTAACAATGCGAAAATTTAACAATGCGAAAAGCAAAAATGCAAATATGCGAAAATGTAACAATGCGGAAAAGCAAAAATGCGAAGAGACGACAGATGGAATTCGAATATACCACAATTTTTGTGTGTGTAGTATTTTTGCCCTCTTTCTGTCGTATTTTCGCTTTGTTGCCTCGCAAATCGGAAAAACCGAAAACGCGAAAAGACGACACAGTCCAAATTTGTCGTCCCTTCGTGTTTTCACATTTTCGCATTTTGAGGCGAAGAAGCGAAAATACGACATGGCGTAAATCAGCCACCATAGTTGAGTGACACAATAACACGTAACATAAGAGAAATCTGAGATCATTCGAACATACATGCATGAAGTTCATTACAATCAAAGCAGCTGGTATAAAACTTTGCATTCCTGACAACAATCCATCCTTGATAATTTTAGTTTCAGTTTAGTTAACAGTTTCAGTATGAATTTATCTATATTATTTTTCCGTTGATGTTTGTGTTTGTTTGTCGTTTTATTTTTATTTTTCTGTTGTTTACTATTCTAAGCGGTAGTGTCATGTCTTATATGAAACAGGCATATGAAAAAGGAAAGTAAAGCAACTTCTATATTTAGTTTGACTTCGGAGGAAAGCTATAAAATGTTTAGCTATACAATCACACTATTTTAAATTTTGTTTTCAACCCTGTTGTCAACATTTTTTATTATTTAATTCTGCGTAGAAATGAAAACTATTATGCATCAACGTAAAACACACACAAACATAATTAATTACAATGACTTAAGTACTCACACGCACTATTGTAATAAGCGGTTTATTTTCGGATTTACAAAAAACGTGTCCCATTGAAAACAATGCGGTGTATGCAAATGAAATGCAAATGAAGTAAAGATACGGTTCGTTAATTAGACGAAGATGCAGAATGTCTTACGCTTGTCAGTTATGTCAAAGTTGATTGTAAACTACGTCAGTACACTGATCCACGTTGTACGTTATAACGTAACGGTATTGTAAAGAAACGTTATTATGAGTGTGTGTTTAATGGACATATCTTAAAAAACGTAAGTGACTTTAATGATTTATAAACTAAAGATACATTTGTGAGCAGTATATTTTGTTATGTCTCATTGTTTTCTATACGATTATGAAGTTTTATTTCATGCCTTTTAGCAGATATCTGATTTATAAATAAAAAACTATATTTGATAATTTCACAGTGTAATTTATCTTCACTTTTCCATATGAAGAGGTGAATTTTTAAAATTTTGTCCCCATGTGATACCTCATATTCATTTTCGCTTATAAATGATATATGAATTCAGATATTGTTAAGCAAGGTTTTGCTTAAACAAAGTTCATGTGGCTCTATAACTATGATTATAAACATAGTCAAATAGGTAACACTTATTTTCATAAATTAAAGTTCATTCAGTTCACTTGATCAACAAACATTATCTCTTGAAGATTTGGTTAAAATCATAACAGCCCGATAATTTCACTTTTTACATGCAAAACTGCTTTTGGAAACATTTGGGCATATTTAATTATTTTACAAGCTATAATTGTAATGCATTATGTTAAACAAATGACAGTTATCATCAAGAAAGATGAGTAAATACGCCAACGTCCGTAAGATACTCTTTTAAATGCATCAATTTGTTCAAGCACTTTCATCAAACAGCAAAACATTTCTGACAGAAGACATTTCTAAGATATTTAAATCATGTTGAGTGCTGGGAATTTCTGCATGTTACTTAGTTCATACGAAAACGATCTTACATAACGAAAACCAACTTAAGGTGAATATTTTTCAATATATCAACATTTGAATTATATTTCATTACTAGTCCTGAACAGTATCTACAGTTGCGGCAAACTTTTTGTAGTTACATAACTGAGATCATTAAAGATCCTGTAACTCTATTTTTATGGTTTTTTTTACATAAATAAAATGCTCAAATGAAGATTTATCAATTTTGTAAGTTCCAAAAAGCATTATTTGTAAAGATATTACCGAAATTACATTTCATGTTAAAGTCTAAGCCAAATTTTTCAATAAGAAAAGAATGAATATATTTTAATGAGTACTTATAATGCTTATAAACACAGTTTGCAGTACATATATAACATATTCTTGAATGTTTTGAAATTGTTTTAGAAGAATAATTATATACATATATAAAATTTAACATAAGTGTTGTTACATCCTTAATTACAACATACAGGATCTTCAATGAAACGATGTTATTAAAATGAATGTAAATAGAGAAATTAATAGGAATAAGTAATGCATGAAGACTTCGCGTATTTTTATAACATTGAAATTTTAAAAGAGCCGAATGCCTGATATTCAACAATGCTAAAGGGCTTCAGCGTACTAAAAATATGTGCGGGGGCTGTTGAATTCATGCAGTGTCACACTTACTGATAAACTAAAGCAAGCACTTTTGCGTCTGTAGGATCATTGTTCTGGTTAAACATTTCACCTTTACATTAAATTCGACGAATCCTTTACCCAACAGCCTCAGATCAGCACGTACCATGGTCCTTTTGATTATTTACCAACGATCAAATTGATTATATCCTTAAAGTAAATAATAAGTAAACGATAGATAGATGTACATAATAGGTAACCTGAGTTATTTCGAGTTTTTCATCACAATAGGCATAAGCAATTATAGTCTGACAATTTTAACCACATTTTAATCATATTGAATATCAAGTAAAATGCATTTAAGCATCATACTAAGAAAAGCAAAAACTGATATTTTAATTTGTCGTGTGATTCGTGTGTCTCAATTAAATATTTAAATTAGCCATAAAATTGTGATCGAGTCTAATACTTTTCCCAACTTCATGGATAACAATTCACTCTCATTACATATTAATAACCTATATGTTCTTAATTCGGACATAAATATAACGGTTCAGTCACGTTTCCTTTTCCTGGTCTCATAAATTCTGTATTAAAGACTTTAAGATGTACTTGTAAGTTGAGAATGAATTGATTGTATGTGCGTATAATTTAATGTGGGCTCGCACACTTCACGCTACATTAATGATAGAGTATGGTTCTATTAACGAATCAGAACAAAAAAGTTATAATGACCATTGTAGATTATTTAATTCGCGACACAAGTGCTTAATGAAAAGAAATATCAATACATAAAAGACTTGATAAAGATAGCTTAAATGATTTGTCTAATTTAGTTCAAGTGTTAGTTAACATTTACGAAGTGTAACGTGACCTTTCGAGAGTTCGGAATGTAAAGTTGTAATTTTCAAGTATTTTTTAAGAATAGTTTGATCAGCATTTGATGTAGTAGATTAATGTTATGCTATCAAACTTAAGCTTTTCTTATTGATGATCATTCCTTAATTATACTTTAAATTGCTTGAATAAAACTAGTCTTAGCAAATGTGCATTACATAAATGTAGTTTGGTGCTGATTGAAAGCAGGGAGGGTTTGTTGGATGGAAGCTATTGAAGTATTTAGTTATGAACACTTGCTTTCTTTGGAACTGACAGACGGTCCCCCTTATTATAAAAGCCAGGACAATAGCCCGACTGTCATGTGTAGTATGTATGTCGGTTCATATGTGGTATCGTGGCTGAAAAAATGAAACAAGACATTAGACAGTTACTCTACATTCTTTTGATGTCCTATTGTATTGTCATGTATTGTATTGCTTTATCACATTTCATGAGTTAAACTCGATGCTTGCAAACTTACGCGATACTTGCTGCGATACATAGGAATAACAAAAGAGAACAAAAATCAACACGAAAGGACGAGACGTTCACATAACGCAGCCCCTGACAAAACCCAGTCCCACTTGCAAGCTAAATAAGAATATGAAATAAAGTATTGCGACGGCAAATGACAATGCGACAATCACATCATATGTTTTTAAAGAACTGTCTGGTCTCTTGTCTTACTGCATTGATACGTGTCGTGTCGCATTATCATCTGTCTTGTGATGCATCACGTCATGTCTTGTATCTTCCAGTGTCATGCGTTCCCTTTTATGACACTTGCGATTTAAAATAAATGATTCTTACTGGATTCCGTACTTTAACACATTATCTATAACATTTTTGTCAGCAAATTTTGTTAATCTTTATGCATTCAAGTGCTTTGGAGTGACAGATCTTCATAATTCCAAAAGTGTTTCGAGAAAATAATGATAACTGGTATGCCAAATGACAAACTGTTCACTAATTCTTCCACAGAAGCAAACACAAAGGTATTGATAGACAACAAGAAATAAATGTGGTCAAAATGTGAATTAAGCTCTTTTAAGAATTGTACCCTCTACATGTGTGTCTGCATGTATTGCAAATTATACTTTTTACTCACAAAAAGGGCGGTATATGCCTTAATCTCAACAGATAATGTTAAATTTACTGTTCATATTTGAAGAGGAGTAAAACTTTAATAGTTTACCGAATTTCAATTAAATAGGAGTTTCAAACTGAAACCTTCGAATACATAAATTTATAAAGCGATGGTTTCTTGAAACTATAATCAATTGGCAAACTATTTCTTTTTTGTTTTGCTATATGCTCAATTTTCTTTAGACATTACCGAATATGACCTAAGAATTTAAATAATATTTCATAATATTTATTTTCCTATTTCAGATGAAATCCTTTCTGTTCTTGCTGGTAATTTTGGTAGAAGGTGAGATTACCTCAAATTTTTATACATATTTTAATAAAACATATTTTGAATAGATGGAATGCTGACAGTACTTGACAGTTACAAGATAAATTGTTTCACGGTCAAATACTTCACAAATATGTACTTGTAAATGGGGATGAAAATTTACATTTTGTTTACGACAGTTTTTTGTCTGACATTTGTCGTTGAAATGTTTATTTACAGTGATTTAGATTAAGTGCACTTTATTAATGTAGAAAGGATAATTTTATATCATGTTGCAAATAAGTGTTGTGCCAAATTTTGATACATGTTACTTTTGTAAATCATATAAATTAAATGTGTTTGCATATACATTGTTAAAACAACGTCGTAGAATAAATTTCATTTCATCATTTATAAATTATAAACACAAGCCTCAACCTAAAACCTTGTAAAACATTTTTCCATATATTTAACTTAATTCATAAATGAATAATCTGTTACTGTTGACATCTGCACTCAAGAAAGTTCACACACATGTCTATGTAGCTGCATGCATTTGCGTCTATATTCAATACACATAAGGTTGTAATTATGTCAAATGTAATGTATTAATCGCATGAAGTATATTTACATACTATTCCAGTTTCAACACGTTTACATTTTTAACAATTCAAATGTCAGCAGTATTGAAACTATAAAGGGCCGTTTATTATACCTTTGGTTATATGACACATACAAACTATCAGCAAGCAGCAGCATCCAGGTCAACGATTTATATTCAACAGTCTATTTCTATCATTGTAAAGTTGCTTGGAGCACCTGCATTGTAAGTGTTCACACATACAATGTCACAATATACATCACATGACACTTGAATATACACCACAATCTGTCTGTCATCGTAATAAGAATGTTCAGGGTGTATGTGGTGTGCTGTGTCCTCAAACTATATGGTCACAATTTATACAACATTTTAGCTTTAGTGTAGTTTGTACTAACTGGTCTCAAATTATACCACATTTTATTTTTATCGTTAGAGGGTTGCCCAGGGTACCCGAGTTTTGTATGTTTATAGCAATAATAATTAAGAAACAAGACAATCTATTTTGTCGTGACCAAGTTGCCCGGGGTGCCTGTGTTGTGTGTATGGCACAAAGGTGTGACTTTGAAGGTTCCGCGAAAAAAAAAGTACAAACATATCTGTGTACATGTTTTAATTTTAAATTCTGCTAAAAGTAACATTATGATTATTCTATCATTGCCATGTTTAGCTGAACTGATTATTTGTTTCAAAATTTGAACAATTATAATTGTGATTGGCTCACAATTGATATTGAAAAGCGTTAAGGATAAAAATAAATCTACTTAAAATATAAAAAGACTGCCCTACTATTTTATGAATTTCACGTCGTTGCAGGTAAATTGGATATATAGAGCCGGTATCAGATGACGTGGGCTAACGTCAATTAATAGGCTCGATTAAACCAAGTTAGAAAAATTAGTAATTAATTTTGCCGGGTTTTTTTGGGCGTTTGTTAAGGACTCGTTTATCAATTTTATTGTCATATCATTATAATTTATGCTGTGTAACGGTCGTAAATTATCTCCAAGTATATTTAATCAAAGATGTTATATTTTATATCCCGGAAGATCGTTTAGCACACATTATTGTTGTGCATGTTTGTTACTTTTAGTTCCTTCTATTTGAATCGTTTTTAGTTTGGTGTCTTGAATATTATCTTGCTTTTTAACTTTGTCGTTTGGCCTCTTATTTGTTATGTATATGCTTTGTTACCTACGATCCCTTCAAAATAAATATTATTTAGTTCCTTCCTTTTCTCGTCAAGGGCAAAGGCATTCTTTATTTTTCGGGGCATACACTGATTTTCATGGAATGGCACGACTGTTTCACACGGATGGATCCCTGAACACATCTGCGGTTGATTTAAAACATTTTGCTATAGCCGTTAGTGTAATTACCACTACCGTTCATAAACAGACTCAATTAAACCTACGATCCCTTCAAAATCAATATTGTTTAGTTCCACCCTTTGTTTTCTCGTCAAGGGCAAATGCATTCTTTATTTTTGGGGACATACACTGATTTTCATGGAATGGCACGACTGTTTCACACGGATGGATCCCTGAACACATCTGCGGATGATTTAAAACATTTTGCTATAGCCGTTAATGTAATTACCACTACCGTTCATGAACAGACTCAATTAAACCTAGCCTGTCACATTGTCAATTTCGTTTTGGACGTACTTTAGGGATTCTGTTTTTCACTTTTTTACAGGCAGGTCTTACTTACCATATTCATTTTTTTTCATTTTAGAAGTTTTTCAGACTACAGACTTGCGTGTGTGTCACACTACAGATCTTACAGTGTTTATATTATTATTATTATCATTAGGTTGCTTTGGATACCGGGTTGTGTGTGTTTATACAAACTGGTCACAATACAGACCTCCTGGAGCTAAGTTCCTTCCAGAAGACGTTGATGCCAAATTGTGTACACATCTAATATATGTTTATGCCAAGCTGAAAGGAAACAAGCTGGAACCAACAGAATGGAATGATGACGGGTCGGCATGGAGCGAGGGCATGTCAGTAAAATTTCTGTTAGCTTTTATTAATGTTAGAATGATGAGCTGGGCCAATTTAAACAGAAATATATGCAAAGATAGTTAAGAAATATACTTTGAAATAAATTGAAAATCGTATTTTTATACTTTTCCTAGCCAGATTTGAGTGTAAAGCGTTTAAGCGCTTTTCATTTTGGGTTAGTTTTTTTACAATTTGAATAATTATTGTGGAAAAACGAAGAGCGCGAATGATCTGAAATTTTGCACAAAGATTGGTGGTCTAACCCTACATGAAAAGGTACATTTATCTGGGGAAAAATATTTTCAGTCCCATCATGTCAAAAAATCTCAGTGGAGACCCTTTAATCTTCATTTATTGTATCATTTGTATGGAGGTTCCTGTATTTGTGGAACGAAGCGAAAAAACAATCACGAGTCGAGCCAGAGTGTACATTACATAGAAATCATTGTATTTCAATTTAATGTCATTCATATACTTTCACTTCAAATGAATAATTGTACTTTGATTGATTAAAATTGAATATTTTCTTCATTGAAAATAAAATGTGCAATATCAGTAGCAAATAACTTTCAATAACTTTTAAAGCCCTATGGAATTTTCTTTGTCAAATGTATACAAACATTTCGAATGATTAAACCCACCACTTTGATATCTAGCAATCCCATTTGACTTATGTTGGAATAGATAAGTTTATATTTCAGTTTTTGTATAACAACTCATATATGTTAAAATATTTAAAAAAAGAAAAGTAATCATTATCCTTTCATGTACTCTATAACAAATTGAAAAGTTACAGCCTAGTCCCAGATGTGTTAGTTAAATGAAAAATACAGATCTGTAAGTGCAAGTAAACAGTATTTTCCATTAACGAAGTGTAAAATGCTACTATGTGGTTGCAATACATGTTTTAATTTTATAGGTATGACCGTGTCAATAACTTGAAACAGATCAATCCTGAGATGAAGACATTGCTAGGGGTAGGTGGTTGGATGATGGGCAGTAAAGATTTCAGTAAACTAGCATCTGGTAGAATATCCAGGAAACTATTTGCAAAGACAAGTGTAAAGTTTCTGAGGGACAGAAAGTTTGATGGTTTAGCGATTGACTGGCAACATCCCACTAAACGTGGTGGCAAACCACAAGACAAAGTTAATTTTTCTTTGCTGCTTAAGGTATATATTCGTTTTAAACATTATTTGAAGATTAAAAACATTGATTAGGTCAAAAAAAAATTGAGTGAATTGTTGGTAATGATATGTTGCATTTGTCTAAAAATAAAGTAAAACGGCACAATGTATTTATGACCAAAACCAAACATTATTAGAGTTTATTCTTTTGTTCAATAATTTATTCATCATGAAAAAAACAAAAGCTTTACACAGAAAAGACGAAGATACGTTATTGAGTTGTTATGTAAACTTGAAACACTTGTTACTATATACAGTAAAAATTACCTTTGATTATGAATGTCTAAACACCGATAATAAGTTTGCGGCACGGGGCCGATAACTATAATCGGCCCGCTGCAAAAAGAGTAACAATGACTTAACTTTTTACGTCATCAAAACATATAGCTGTAAAGTAAAAGTATGTTTTCAGCACAGATTGTTTGATTTTATGATAAACACTTGAATGTTATTTGTACAAATACAGTTTTATTTAAAAAGAAATGAAAAAACACGTCAGACTCGGGCCGGCCCTGAAACAATTAATGTTTTCAGATAGAATTCCTTTTGGCTAATATTCATTTCGGGACCGATTATCACCTGTCATGTAATAAACATCAGTAAGTCGTTATGGTGATGATAATTAAAATGCTGGATTATATCTTCTAGGAGATTAGGAAGGCGTTTCAAGATGATAGCAGAAAGACGGGTTTACCACCATTATTGCTTACTGCAGGGGTATCAGCAAGTAGAGAAGTAATTGAGGAAGGCTATGAAATTGACAATTTGACAAAGTATATATCATTAATATCTATACACGATTGTCTTAAACCTTAAGATATTCAATATTTCAATATATACTGGTGCGGATTAAGATTTATTTTAGCAGAATGGGTCGCCAAATAATACTTGCAAAAAACCAGGCAGACCCTCTAACTCTCCCTCCCCCTGTGGGTCCACCCATTATAAACTTTTTCAAATTTTTCAAACATTCATTGGTCAAGGATGGATTCTGTTGTGCCTTTAGTCGCCTCTTTTAAATTTCTGCTACTGTAGTTTGCAAACTGTTAAGCATATCAATAATCTAAATAAATTTAAGCAAAGCAACGTTATTGTATCTCCAAAATGTTTGTAGGAAACATATAAGCTGACGATATTAATAGTTTCCATAATTGCCAATATTCAACAGATATACAGATTTTCTGAATGTTATGGCTTATGATTTGCACGGTGCTTGGGATAATTACACTGGGCACCCTAGTCAGCTGTATCCCAGAGAGGAAGAGTTTGGGCCGCCAGCTGAAATAAATGTGGTAAATATATATTAACATTGAAATGAAATTTTATTTTGACTTTCTTACTTGAAATGATCAATATTTATAAAAAAAATGAAACATAGATACTCTTAATACAAATAATGTCATAACGCAAAAAACCAAAAACAAAAAAAACAACATAATTTCTTTTAGTGTTTTATACATACGGGTTATACAAAGGGTAACATGTATTCTTTGATTCTTTTTTAGGATTCGGCCATGCGTTACTGGATGTCAAAGGTTCCTGATAGGACTAAGTTAATATTGGGCGTATCCTCATATGGACGAACTTTCACACTTCGCAAAACACGACATAATGACTACAACGTTCCGACGACGGGACCTGGAGAAGCCGGAGAGTTCACACAGCAACCGGGCATGCTCGCATATTATGAGGCAAGTAATATATACATGTACTTGAGATAATGTAATTTGCAAACCTATTGTAGACATTAATGAAGTGAAATTTATTAATTAATTATTGTATTCTTGAATGCATTTTCAGCGATGTTCCCAGTATGCTGATGCAAAGCGAGTCTGGGATCCGGTGAGTCAAGTTGCTTACTGGCATAAAGGCAATCAGTGGATTGCTGGAGAAGATGTTGAAAGCGTTAAAGCAAAGGTATCGTATTATAAATTAGCATGCAATTAACGTTTAATGTGCTTTTTGATATAAAAAAAACTAACATTTAAAGAATGCAATGTGTCTCACATCTGTATTAGTAGTTGATGTTGCAATTTGATTCACGTATTTCATAACCAGTTTTCAATCTCGATGACTGTGCTTATTAATATTATGATAAATCTTGGAGTAAATGTATAAAATCACAGTAAAACTAATAATTCAAAGACTAGTTTTAATTACATTCATATCATGGGTTTAATGCAATATCATCCAGAAATACAGAAATAAAATGCAATTATTCTTATTCATGATTTCGAGACAAATAATTGGGCTATAAAATGACAATTTGGATTCAGGTTGGTTAGGAAGTTTGTGAAACAAATATTTATGTTGTAAATAACCTTTGCTTGTTAATAAGAAAATATTCGTCTCTCATTGCTTCGAATGTCTTACGCTTTATGTCTTTGTTCAAATTATGTGTAAAGTAATTTTGCTATTTATGTTACTAAAATAACAACCATGCACACATTTATAGGTGAATTGGACAAGAACGTATGAAATAGGAGGAGTGATGTTGTGGTCGCTAGATACAGATGACTTCGACGATATGTGTATATCTGAACTTTATCCGCTACTTAATGCCGTAGTAACTGCTCTTAATGATCCAACATTTGTAACAAGGAACACATCTTTACATGATCAGATCATGCACATATCTTCTGACAAAAATATAAAAAGTATATCTGAAACTAAAATCTCCGATAATGAAATAACACCTACAACTACTGCCACTAAAATAAAGCCTACGGCAAACATTACACCAAAAACCAAGATTTCGGAAACAGTAAGCTCTAAGGTTGTGGATAAAGCTGCTAACGTTAACTCCAAAATTATGGAAACTAAAGTAAAAGCTAACATTCACGAAAACAGTAAAGTACAAAGTTTGGATAAAGACAATACACTACAAACTAGAAATAACCAACCAGGATCAAAATCTGACCATGATACTTTAAAATCTACAAAAAGTAAAAAAGTTAAACCGAAAGGGAAAAGGAGGCGCATGAGTCCAAAGATGCGCCGGATGATGTTTCTTCGACGACGAAAACAGCAACAAAATAGGAAAAAACAGTTAAAAGGTAAAGGAAAAAGTGATAAACCAAATGAAAGTATTAATAAAAACAAAAGGTCTAAAGCAAAAGATGACTCACCCACTATTAATCAGCGGAGTAAAAATGTAGATAACCCAACAGATAAATTACAAACAGAATCAAATATAAGCAGCAGCATTGATGTACCACGTGAAAATGAGTCGTTAACTGTCAACAGAAAATTAAACGTCAATACGGAAGATAATAAAGACAAAAAAGTGTTTTCAGGAAAGAGCAACCAGGAAAGTTTGATTGTAAAAGAGGAAGCAAAGATAACCACAATAATGAAATTAGCTTTTAATGACTCAAGTGTTGATGAAAACATTTTAACAAAAGATATGCTTAAAAAGGGTAAAAACAAAACAAAAGTGACAAATGGTTCGAAAATAACTATTGGAAAGACATTGAGAATTGCACCAAGGAGAAAAGCAAGGCCAGTTATTAATATAAAACAAAGGCACATGCAACTGAAAGCTACAACAAATACTAAATCAGATAAACCACAAGGAGAAATGAATCCGCTGAATAAAAAATTGAAAACAAATAAACTATCAGACAATTTTAACACACATGAAACAACTACAAACAATATACGACAAGAAAATACGTTAAAGTCATTAAGTAATCCAACAGTACAGAAGAATGATAGGCAAAACGGTAGAAAAATAAAAACAGGTAAAAAGAAAATGAAATTGCGCAGAAAGAAAATTTCAAAGCAGAGAAAAAGAGTTAAAGTCCGTCGTAGGAAACATAAAGCCAAACCGAAGACCGTAAACAATTAATCTTTTTTTCATTTAACATAGGATTTAATTTGTTTAATTCATTTTTATTCATCGCAAAATTCATTTTACACTTGTATTATTAAGTTGTATTAATAGGAACTTATGAGCTATAAAAATTTTCAAAACTGATTATCTTATAAGTTTCCTAATGGGTTGGCAGATTTGTTAAGATAATTGTATTTCGTAATGAAATTAAAATGCTTGGACAGTCTGTAAACTGAGAATTCAATAACTGTATTTAATCTAAATGATTTATTAAGACTTCCTAATTTGGTACACATTTTGTCAAAATATAACAATCTCAATAAAAATTGTTCGATTAAATTGTTGTTCGATTAGTTCACCAACTTGAGAATGATGTGTATTATACAGCTGTTAATACAAATGTGTGATGTCTTGGGCCAAATAAAAAAAAAACCTGAATGTATCGAATGGATTATATAAGATACTTATGCATGCTCGCATGTGTGTGTTTGTTTATTCTCGCTTGACGGGTGCCTTTTCGGTGACCTTTTGTAACTCAATGTTGTCGGAAGCTGATCTTGTTGAGACTGGATATTGTCTGAGCTGGATGTTGTCTGGGTTTGAATTTGTCAGGGGCTGCATTCCGTAAACGTCGCTCTCTGTTGTTTATGTCTATACTCACATTCAATTCTATAAGAACTACAGTAAGTTACCTTTAAAGGTGTTTCTGGATTCCGGTAATCAAAAAATATTTTTTGAAATGAACTCCAAGCTTCTCCATTTATAGATTGAGATTTCGGTAGAAGGCGATAAACTTTGTATAAAGTAACTTTGAAATATAATAAATTCAATAATGTGCCATTAAATATTCTTCTTAAATGTGTCAATTCTCATTATTTGAATAAATTTCTTTCTTTGCCCTTTGGAATTAAATTATTTTTATGGAGAACAATTCTGATTATCTTTTGGTATCATGACTTAAAAACTCGAACGCATAACGATTTAAATGCTAAAATGTTACATATATCAATGTAACACATGCTCCTCATTGTAACAAAATCGTAAAACATGAAAAACGCTTATTTTTCGCTTTTTCGACGCTTATTTAGAGATAAAGCACACAATAAAAATAAACATACCTTTAAACAAGATGAACATTATTTAATTGTTAAAGATAAATGTTGAAAGGAACAAGATTGTGTTTCCAAAACTGTAAAGGCTAATTCATATGTCAGAAATATTCGTATTATAACTATGCACATTTAGTATTCATTTCTTTCAATGTATTTCTTATCTCATGTTTCCTTTTACGGATCGGCTTTCAGTATAGTGAATATACAGCCTTTTTGATATCGTTATTAGAAGAATCTACATGTACTTTGCTTTATTCGTTTTACAGGTAAATTGGATGAGGTATAACAATATTGGCGGTATCATGCTTTCACCGCTTGATATGGACGATTTTACCGGCATGTTTTGCACAGGAGATATATATCCACTTTTAATTTCGATTCACAAGCAACTTCTTGCACCGCTTCCGAAACATTCTAGGGTGCGAACTAATAAGCGTCCTAAGCAAGTCCCGTTAGGTGTTACCAAATCACCTACTTTTTCGACAACAGAATCTGTAAGTACTTTTTCTACAACGAATTTCAGTTATGAATTCGCCTATGAAACTACAACAGAACTTCCAGCAACAACAACTGTAAACACTTTCTTGATAAATCAAAGAAGAAATAAACTTCATGAACACATTGAAAAAGCTAAAGTAGCAAATCAAACATATAATCAAAATATAACCAAAAACAAAGTAATTTTTCAAAAGAAACAGAGCAAAAAACAGACTGCAACAAGTGCATACTTTGATAGTCTCGCAACTGGTGAAAGAAAAAGTCCAAGCAATTACGTGGAAGGTGTATTGACTGGTAAACAGATTCCACGAAGCGCAACATCTACACAATTTGGTACAACAGTAAATCAAGCTGAAACAAGTACACAGATACTAACGTCCGTGGCAACACAAGCAATTCAAGTCACCAAAACCAGCCAAGAATCGGATATGAGGAATTTTTTGAAGAACGCAGCTGATCTACCATCACACAGTCTTATTAATGGAATTATGAAACTTCTCGGGAACAATGGTCATTCAGATATTAGTGGAGATAAAAGAATAATCACAACATCATCAGATTTGAAGATTGCATCGTCTACGAAAGCTACTACTTTTGAAACAACTACTGAAGCAATTATTCGAACTCATTTAAATGAACCTGCTATTAGTATTAGAGATTTAAGAATATCGGCTCCGACACACACACATAACAAACGTCATTTAGTTCAAGAGATCAGAAATACAGGGCGAGTAATTCAACCGTTCATCGACAATCGTAGAGACTTAATATCAGGTGGAAGTTTAAGAGAACATTTGAGAATTCAACCGATCAGAAATGATTTGTCTGTTCGTGTTAACCACCCAGCTAGTGGTAAACAAGTGTTTGATACATTTCAAAAAGATATGCAGATTGAACCTATCAAACCAAAAGAGCTTGTCCCTCCACCATTTCCACTTCCAGATATGAGAGAAGCTCGTCCAAGTAAAAGTTTTCTTGACATGAAAGATCTTGGTTTTCTCGCCAAATGAGTTATTTCTTTAAAGCAAATCACCGTAGTGTATAGTAGCAACCGTATAGCAAGAGTATACATGACAATCCAATATATCAGCAACGATACTTTAAAATAGAGTGAAATAAGAATCCCCAAAGAAAGCCCAACGCGGCAAAATAAAACCAACATAGTGACGTTACATAATACAGCTAAGTTACATAATAAAGTTACGTTTTCATAATGCAGTGCAGTTGTGATACATAATACCGATATGTTACATAATACAATACCGTAATATTATACAGTTACCTTTAATTATACAGTGACGTTACGATAAACAGTATACAGTCAAACGTTTATAACTAAATGAGATTCATCCTACATATGTATATACACTTCTATTTCATTTATTGTCATTTCATATCACAAAATGTTTAAACAACATACATACATTGAATATGTTTGTTTTTTTGCTTGTTAATTACGCTAGTGAATATTGAACATACATCTTTCCACATATGATCTTTTTCACTATGTAAATAAAGTAGCGTATAGCGATACTGTTGCTGTATTATTGTGAAACCAAAGATTTATAAACAAATATTATAGTTATAATAAAATACATTCGAACGGGTTAAGCATTATATTAATATGATTCTTGGTGCGTCCATAACGTGTTTACTGTCAAACTTGCGACTGTTGATATTGCATGCTCAAAATGTCCGATATGAAGAAACTTTCCACATTATTTGCTTAGAAATAACATGGAGTATTTTATTTTTTAAATGAACTTAGTTAATAAGACTTGATGAGATATGCATCCACTACAAATACCTTCAACATGACGAATATAAACGAATATAAACATATGTCATTTAAAATATGATTGGTTAAATGTAGTGTCAAATTGTCAATATACAGTGGTATCAAATTGGCACGACCGTAATTAAAACATAAATAATGTCTGATATGTTTATGGTTTTGAATGCTCGTTTTTGTTTTATCAGTAATAATTGTCGTTCGGATAACAGAATTTAATTCTCATAAATGTCGGTTTAGTCATTTATATTTCCAACCACATTTGGATTAAAATCTCAAATTTATCATTTAAAATTTCTAAGACGTGAAACGTATTGCTAAGTGATTTATACCATTTAATAAATGCAGAAATTTAAGCTGAAGGGACGGATATTTGATGCTAGTTGAAGGTTTATGTAGTAAGTTGCATTCATTGTGACTGACAACAAATACAATGATATTTTGTAGACCTGTTAAAGAAATTTAAGATGTCTCTTATTAAATGAGATATATGTTTATATGTAATAATTTGCGACAGTTGAAAGGAAAATACATAGACAAAACGTGTTAAAGTAATTCACTGTTTGTTATTACAGATATCGACGCATGTAATATAAATCAACATTAACTTTTTAGAAACAGACGTGGGTTTAATTAATTTTACCGTTAGGTGACATTTTATATCTAAAATGATTAAATATCACAGAAGTTATTCTTGTTTACTATAATTGTGTTATCAATCACATACGTGTATATATTTATTACTTTATTTGAGTCTCATAACAGGTATATACTATCTTCATTTGAAAGATAACTCATCATATAAAGACTGTCCAAAAAAAGGTAAATGAAAGATAAAGTAAACAAAAACAAATAATTAAAAAATAAATAATACGCTGCTATAAAATATATGCAACTAACACACAAACAAAGTCTAACACCAGTATTAGATCAGATCAAAGAAGATCTTATTTATTCTGAGTAACTGAACTGAAGAAGAAAAAATTGCATAAACTAAGAACACATTGTTACATGTACATACAAATACTATTACATTATTACTAGGGTCTTTGATCTTTAATTCTTCGATGTGACATTATCTAAAATGTATTTAATCTATTTAAGCCAATTATACAGTTTATCTATTCAATCATTCGTTCAATCCAGTCTCATACACATATAACATTATATAAGATACAGGTGTAAAGTCATTTTATAAGAATCGTAAGACTAAGCATCTAAAACTTAATAGCACAAACGCTTAAGATCAGTACGAGGGGAACATTTTGATAAGTGGCAACAACTCATTTTAACCATGATTTGCACTTGGAAGCATCTGTATATTATATTGTTGGAAAGATTATTGATTTTTCCACCCAACAGTCTATTTTCGCACGATTTGAAAGAGCACTAAATTTTAGCAGGTCATTTAAATACATGTGATTTTGTATACTTGTTGTAAACATGGCTGAGAAGAAAAAAAGAGCTTATTGCAAAACTCGTGGGTTATTGGGTAAATGCGCGCCAGAATTAAAAACGGATATGGAGAAAATGCCCCTCCATATTATAAAATTTCCATGTCGGTGTCAATGTATAAGGAAGGTAGAACTAATGTTTAGGATGATCCACGCCCTGGAAGCCAATTTCCGCTACCTGTGACAAAGAGAACAGCACTGTAAAAGCCTTAAAAAATAAAACACATTACTTTGTAAGAAACAGACGTGGGTTTAATTAATATCAAAAATAAATTTAAAATACATAATCATATGTCAATTTGAAATATCAAGCATTGGGAACACATATAAAAAATGTCATCATAATACAGATCATACCATTTCTAAAGAAACTATTAACAAAATGAAACAAAAATTCTAAGATACTTTTCTGGTAGTGCTGTCATTAGAAAATAAAAATATTTATGATTGTAATTACCTTTTACTATGAATAATCTTCAAAATGCATAGCTTAAATATCTTTCACGATATTGGTAAATAAATCAAACTAGACACATCTTTGATAACGTTTTTAAGCAACGAAGATATATAAATTTATAATAAACAGTTATCGATCGGGTGAAATTTACTTTTGAGATGCGATGTCATGATTCTAAATTGCTTTAAATGATCTCATTATATATTGTATTATCTTAAAAAGTGATCATTCTCTGGGCGGCACACCTGGTTTACCAACATCGAAAATACATTTCCCCACCGGGAATTATAGTAATGTTTCAACAAAATGAAAGTTTTATCGATAATTGTTGCTCTTCATTTTTTGTAGAAATGCTTGGAAATTGTTTATAAATTCTTTCGAGGTAAAATAGAATGTACTTTTCAAATAATATATAAGTAGATTCAAGACTGGAATTAAACTTAGGTCTTAGTTAGTTAGTAATAGTTATTATCATTAATCCTGACATAAAATTATTTCCATAATCTACAAAATATGGAAAGACAGGATCAACAAGAAAGAGTTGCATTCAATGAACGCAACCCCAACACAGAACCATGGACAAGGATCCCAGCAGGGCATCCAACATGACTGGACATACGGGAAAGAATAAACGGACATAGTTGTTAATAATCAATTGTAATAGTGTGCATTGTTGTAGAAAGGGTGATACAAAATGGAACATTTATTATTTTTTATTCAGCTTAAAGCAATACTTTATGAAACCAAAAATAGATTATAACGGAAAACCCCCTGGTTCAGCTAAAACGATTAAATTTCTAGTTTGTTTTTAACACCTAAGATAATTGTACAAAACCTTATATGCAACGTATCTTATTCGTTTTGATTGTATATTCCCAAGCTTTCAGAACCATATATGAAATTGGAACAGCATATATATCAAATAATGCATGTTTCTCTTCATTTTGTTAAGATGAATTGTATTAATATTATTATTTTCATGTGTATGCTATGCCTCTTTATGTAATGTTCGTGTATATGCTATAGCTCATATTGTCATGTGTGTACATAAATTGAGTTCTGAAATAAACTTTGAAACTTTGAATAACGCCAGTTTGGTTTTCAAATCAATATCTATTGTCTTTTAATAAACTCATAGAGCTTGTAAGCTATGCTCTTTGGTTATGAAGACTGCTCTATCATTAGTTCTGGCTTTCAAAACTTTATAAGCCGCTATTTAACAATTTTGTTTTTCATCTGATGCGGCATTAAAGTTTTGGATAAGACCCGTTACGAAACCTAACCAGAATAACATAAGTTGATTTAACCTTATTTTTCACTTGCAAATACACTTGACCCAATCAATTCTTGTGCATTTTACGATAAAACAATTATTTTAATATCGTTCTATACCAATTAAAGTATCAAAATATTAATGCCGTCATTAAAATTGCCTATTTAACTGTAAAACATCAATTATGCCGATTACAGTCGGCCATGACATTTAGGGGCCACCAGACCTCTTATGACGTCATTCGCGGAAACCGATTGGAATAGGGTCGTGTACTATATTAAGAACATCTTTGTTGACATGATTTCGATAATTTATTCAAGATGATGTTTTCATTTATTTTCATTAATTTTTTAGTACTTAAATATGATTTATTGAATTCAAAAGTCAGTAAACCACCTTTTTCAATATCTTAAAAAAAGTAATTTATAAAAATATTGGAAGCACATGGGTTCGTAAAGGTCAATCTCGTAATCACGTGGTCAAACATTTTGGCAATATGGCGGCCAAGTGCCGAAATTTTTACCTGTCGGAAACTATTAGGTAGTTTATGTTCGTAATAAGATTTTAATTTGTCCATCCTTGGCTTATCAACAGATTATATATAGTTTTATCAAGGTATGCTTCACTTTACTTCATGGCATGTTCGATGAATGAATGCGAGCGTGTCAGATTCCTGGCACGATCATTGGTGGACTTGCCCTACGAGGTTGTCTTCAGCGTTCACGTCACGTCATAGTATATAAACGGGTACGCTGAAGACCTTAAGCTACTCTATCATCAGTAAAAAGCAACAAGTATACTTAAAATTACTGTAAATGATTATCTGTCAAATTATCAAAAAGTAATCAAAAAGTAATCAAAACAATTAATTATTATATGTAGACAATATTTTCAAGTTAGAAAATGTTCAAATCTGATATACATTTTGTATGTACTCGTAGTTACAAATAATTGTTATATAGTCCCTTTTGAAATGCAACATAAACACTGTTTGAATACACACAGAGAAGAAAAGGCTCTACATAATATAGGTAGGCACAGAATGAATACATAATGTCATTAATAAAAGAACTGCCAGGTTTTTTTGGTTTACCATACAATTATAAGATATGTTAGTACTTATATGGTGGTAGAAATGAGCCACCATAATGTATATGAATTGTCATATTTATATGAAAAAACCATGTTTGTATGAAAAAAAAAATATTCAGGGTTCTCAGAATATTAAGTATTTAGTGTTACCAAGCACTTCGATACTATGTATCTTTGTATGTATATCTGTTTTCGTCTTAGTTGTCATGATTAATAAATCATTAATTAATCATTGTCATATTCATGTTTGTATATAGTCTTCAAAATTTTGACTTTAATATTAATTTTCATATATTTGAGGAATGTGCTTCGAGTCACACTGGTTTTATGACAGAGCAAATAAAGAAGAGTTACCCGAAATTGGACCTAAAAATGGGGATTTCCTCATATGGTACCAATACTAGTAAGTTCCATAAGGCAGAATCATCTTATCGCTGTCTTACTGAAACAATATGATTACTTATAAGATTTTAGACCTTTATATACATCTATCTAAACAATGATGAGGTACAAACCATTTGTATTTAGCCTCTGAAATT